AGGGTTCAATTGAAGGTTATGATTTTTTGCATACATACTAATAGATGTTATATCTTCATTAACCTCCGATTCACCATTTCGAATGTCGTGATTATCGAAATGACTGTAGATCTGCGAATCGTCGGCAAAAAATTGGATATTACAATATTTAACAACTGCCTGGAGATCAGAAATATACAAAATGAATAGGAGTAGCCCAAGTACAGACCCTTTAGGCACTTCGGAGGAAATGAGGTTCTTTGAAGATAGAACCACGTCACCCTTTGATATCGATTTCCTAAGAAACTCTGAATTATTTTTGAAGCAGAATCAGAAAAACCAAAATAGTTACACTTAGCTACTAGAAGACGACGATTTATGGTATCGAATGCCTCAGAGAAGTCAAAAAGAACTAATGATGTGATCATATGTTGATCCCAGGCTCTAACAATGTTACCGGTTAAGTCTAGTAGGGCACCTCCAGTGTTATATCCTTTTCGATAACCGCATTGTTTGGGAGGTAAAATTTTATGTTTAGAGAGATAATTGTGAATTTGGGCGTACATTGCTTTTTCTAATAATTTGGACAAAACAGGTAAAATACTAATTGGTCTTAAATCACAGTATAATCTTGGTTTACTTTCTAAACAGGTATTTATGATGTGTAAAATGTGACCTGAAATCGCAAAAAACATAGTTTTGGCATTCTGAGTGACACGCCAAGACTTCCCAAGGCATTCGATTTCAGAGACTGGAACATCGATTTTAAATCAGTCATGTCGAATCGATCACTAGAATAGTGATTCTTTTCATAATGCTCAGTCTTCTCTGTGCATGAACAAATGGGGTTATTAAAAATGGAACAGAACTTTTTTAAACCTGATCTGTCAGAACTTATAACAAACCGACTGAATACCGACTTGAATAGCCTTCTCAAAACCTCTGAAGATTCTTGTTAAAGATAAACCCTAGTAAATCGACGGCTATATTGTTTTGTAGTTATTCCTGCAGAAACGTATTAGAAAATAATATTACGCTCAAACTAGGGGACAATATAATATCATTTAGGGATTCCGTGAAGGATTTGGGCTTAGTAGTTGATTCTAAACTTAAGTTTAGAGAGCACATTACTCTGTGCCTAAGAAAAGCATATTCAATGTTAAAAATAATTTACCCCCATAGACATTACCTATCACAAAATACTAAAGCCACGCTCTGCGAAGCTTTAGAGTTATCCCACTTCAACTTTGCTGATATGGTATATGGCCCATTTCTTGATAGTGTGGAACTAAAATGGGTTCAAAAAGCTCAGAATTCTTGTCTGATACTGATATTTGGCATAAGGGGTAGACAAAGAGTATCCCACAAACTACCTGAACTGGGATGGTTGAATATGACTCAGAGGCGTACCTTGCACTCTACTTCCTTTTTTTACAAGATTATAAAATATAAAAGCCCTGCTTATCTTCACTTAAAAATTAGTTACCGGACTGATGTACATAATCTAAACATTAGAAGATTGAATTTGATTGAAATACCATCACACAATAAAGAATCATTTAAGAAATCATTCTGATATCAAATTGCCTTTTTGATAAATAAATTCAAAATTAAAGATTTTTCGGTCTCGGTAGCTTCATTTGAGAGGAGCCTTAAAAGTGATTTACTGTCTCAGATATCATAGAAAACACATCTCCTGCTCCCCCTTTTCTCTTCTTCTCTTTCCCAAGGCTTTCTCTTCTCACTCTAAATTTCCATTTATCTACTTACTATACTTCGCTATATTTCTTAAGTTTAAAACATTATTAATTATCAATGTCTTAATGGCCATTTGTCTTATTATAGAATTGTTTAAATTTGTTTGTTTTTTTTTGCTCTAGCAGCTGCTTTTTTAAGGGGCAAGCTGATGTAGCCCTTTATCCTCTTAAGTTTTTTTTTGTTTGTAAACTTAGTATATACTGTTTAATGAGGGTAATAAGTATCATTATTAAATAATTATTAATGCCAGTAGGGTTCTTTAAATGTAGAGGAATATCGGTATTTTGTGGTTGTTGGATACCCATTGATTTTAAAGATCTATAAAACATTTTTGAATCATTTTGTTGACGGAGGGATAATAAATACGCTGCTTTTTCATATCTAATTTGACTTAAAGATACATTTCTGAACTCTTTGTAGCGATTCCAGGAATCTTCTGTCTTATTAATTTTAAACTGATTTAAAGGTCTGTCTCTGTCTTCCATCATACGTTTAAGCTGGGATGATAGCCAGGGCACTTGAGGTTTATTTACACGTACAAATCTTAGAGGTGCATGCTTTTAAAAAATGAATTTTAGCCCATCTGTCAAATATAAAATTTTTTGATCAATACTCTCTACGGAACATATAATGCTCCAGGGAAAGTTCAAAACATCAATTTAAAATGTTAAAATATCAAAATTTTTAAAGTCTCTGAGTTTAACGAATTTTTATTTGGGTTTTTTAGACTGCAAAGTTCTTTCACAAAATACTAAAAAAAGATCGGTAAATAAATCCATATTTATGGTCCCAGAATTTGGACAGACTTGAAGATCATTGATAAATATGGGATACACTAGGCTGCCATAAGCATTAAAACAATTTTCTAATTTGTTGTCTGAACTTAAAAGATTTATATTCATATCTCCAACAACTCCAACATAATCAAAGTTGGGTACCATTATCAAAAAAATCAATGGCTTCATAAACATTGTTATTGGGAGGTCGGTAAATTACCCCAAAGGCAAGGGTTTGCCCACATAAATTCAATTTAATCCACATATTTTCAAGACTAGAAAAGTAGCCAATATGGTTCTCAATTTGTAATTCTTCACAGAGCAAACCATTTCTTACGTAAATGCCCACGCCTCCACCGCGACTCTACCTATCTTTTCGATAGAAGTATATCCTTGAATATACAAAAGACTAAGATGTTTTTATTTAGCTATGTTTCAGATAGAGCTAAAATATTATAATCAGAATTTTCCAACATGTGGGCAAAACCAAATAGAGAATGAAATAGAGACCGAATATTTGAGTGACCAAATTTCAAAGGTTTGTTTTCTTTCATAATTTAGAATTAAATTTTGTATATATACTAAGTGACATATAAATCCGAACACCCAGTTTAAATGGTTTTATTTTAATAAAATTTTGTATAAGTACTTAATGAAGCATAATAAGTAAATGACAAAAATTTCAAAATAATTGCACTGCTTTAAAGCCCTCTGACCTTTAATAATGTGTGGATGCACCCTGATGAGCTACGCATCCTCCAACGCGCCTAGGCATGCTTCTGATCAGGTGGTCAATGTCCTCCTGTGGTATCTCATTCCAGGCAACCACCAACTCCTCTCGAAGTGCTTCTAGAGTCTGAGGAGGACGTTGCAAATTGAGCAATCTCCTACCCATCATATCCCACACGTGCTCAATTGATGATAAGTCGGGAGATCTTGGTGGCCATGGTAACAATGTGACATCATTATGTTGAAAGAAGTCTATTGTGACTCTTGCAACATGTGGACGGGCATTATCTTGTCGGAAAGTTGGATCTGCCAGGGTGTCAAGATAGGGTAAAAGATGGGGTTCTAGAACTTCGTGGATATAACGCTGCGCGTTCATGTTACCTCTGATGAAGATTAAAGGTGACCTGGAACCATAAGCTATAGCGCCCCAAACCATAACTCCAACAGTGTGATGAACATGTCTTTGAACAAAAAACTGTGGATTCCTCCTTTCACCACGTCGCCTTCTAACCCTTACACCGACGTAATCGCCTTGAGTGGTGCAGACAACGGTCACTCTGAGATCAGGAATGGAACAGTATTGTCTTTAGTGACGAGTCTCGATTTTGTTTAGGCATGCACGTTGGTCGTGCCAGGGTTAGAAGGCGACGTGGTGAAAGGAGGAATCCACAGTTTTTTGTTGAAAGACATGTTCATCACACTGTTGGAGTTATGGTTTGGGGTGCTATAGCTTATGGTTCCAGGTCACCTTTAATCTTCATCAGAGGTAACATGAACGCGCAGCGTTATATCCACGAAGTTCTAGAACCCCATCTTTTACCCTATCTTGACACACTGGCAGATCCAACTTTCCAACAAGATAATGCCCGACCACATGTTGCAAGAGTCACAATAGACTTCTTTCAACATAATGATGTCACATTGTTACCATGGCCACCAAGATCTCCCGACTTATCCCCAATTGAGCACGTGTGGGATATGATGGGTAGGAGATTGCTCAATTTGCAACGTCCTCCTGAGACTCTAGAAGCACTTCGAGAGGAGTTGGTGGTTGCCTGGAATGAGATACCACAGGAGGACATTGACCACTTGATCAGAAGCATGCCTAGGCGCGTTGGAGAATGCGTAGCACATCAGGGTGCATCCACACATTATTAAAGGTCAAAGGGCTTTAAAGCAGTGCAATCATTTTGAAATTTTTATCATTTACTTATTATGCTTCATTAAGTACTTATACAAAATTTTATTAAAATAAAACCATTTAAACTGGGTGTTCGGATTTATATGTCACTTAGTATAAGATCCACTTCTTTAAATCTCAAAATAAAACTCGTGATACGTGTTGTTGTTGGAAGAATTTGAAAGTAGGGCATTTTTTATCAGTCGGATCATGATTTGTATCATATTGTTTGTTGTACTTGTGGTTGGCAGACACACAGTTACAACATTTGGTGGTTGATTGATTGCAGGAGGAAATGTAAAGGTTTTCTCAACATTTTGAACATACTTTACAATTTTAGCATTTTTTATTTACCTGCCACTTCAGCAAAAATAATGTAAAATTTTTTGTGCGCAACAACAACAACAATTAATATGAATAATGGATATATCTCGGTTAGCCACAAAGTGCTTTTGTTTTATAATTTCTTCTTGTGCTTCTCTTTCGGTAATTTTTTCCTCCGAACGGTAACCAACTATTTTTATTCTTGGCTTGAACATTCTTGGTTCAGATATCTTGTAGGATGTAGGCATATTTTTTTAGATTTCTTGTTTAAGTTGGGTATGAACCCAGTCTTGAACGTTTATTTCTACAGCTCCATTTCTGCAGTTTTTGACCTTGTCGATACCTATCTGAAGTTTCGAGAGGTCTAAGTTTTTGTTGAGATCATATCTGGTCTTGTAGTTTGGTTGGTGTTGATCAGGTGTAATGATTATGCTTTTTAAATATCTCGTCTCTTTGTTTGGTGATGCTTTACTTTTAGCTATCTGAGAATATGAGACGATCTTAGTTGCGGTTGATTTTTCAAATACTTCCATTCGTATATTTAGTCTTTCCAGTGCGCTGATCATAGTGTCCTTTTCTATGACCTTGGTGGCTAATAAATCGTAGTGTTCGTGAAACCTACGATTTTCGTTGGACAATTGATGAACTAGCCTATCTTTTTCAGCTAGTAATTCACTCAGTAGTTCAATTTTCTCATTAAGTGACTTAATTTCTTGTTTAAGTGCTGTTACCATATTTTCGTCATTATTATTACGCTTGAAACTGATTTATACCGTTCAGATTGTTATTAGTTTTTACGTCAAATCTGTACTCTTAGTGGCAATATGGTATTAGCCCACTGTTTGTCTTTTGTTTCCATGGATGTTGTGATTTTTTTCCTTAATTTTGGTGTGTTGTTCCATCAAAAGCTTAATAACTCAAAATCTAGTGATTTTATCTGAATCAAACCTGATACCAAAAAAAGCCTATAAAAAATTGAATATAAACTTGCAAAAATATACAGGCTGATGCATTTGTAATTTTAGAGAAAAAGTGCAATTCGCGTTTGTGTCCAGCCTGTATGTGCAAAAATAGGAATTCAAAAAAGTAACAAAGAGATAAAAGTTGAGGTGTGCAAATTTTTTTTATACAAAATTCAGCCCTCCAAATTTCAAAATGGCGGACTGAGGAATTTCCGAATTGCGGGGTTTTTCTAGACAAAACACCTTATATCTCAGTAGCTCATTACCAAAACCCCATAATATGTTATATCAATTTTCGTCTTTTGAAATGGTTTATCCAAATATGCAATAAAATTTGAGGCATTCTATTTGAAAAATCACAAAAATCACAACTTTGATATGTTAGCCGAAATTGGGACACCCTGTATAATGGCCAATATCTTAGAAATGTGCCCTCAAATGTCATGTATAGCATCCCATAAATATATTTTCCTAAAATGTATTTGTTTATGAGTAATATTCCGTCCACACATGGATGGGCCACCCTGTATATATATATATATATATATATATATATATATATATATATATATATATATATATGAGCAGTAGTCATTGCCATTGCCGACGACTAGTTGGACAAGAAATACAATTAACTATTAATTGAGAAATTGGTAAAATTTTTGGGCTTTGGTAAACTCTTTTAACGGTAATCTCGAGCTTTCGGTCCTCTATTGAACCATACTCAGGAGCTGAAACACAAATATGAAGCTAGCAACCAATACGGAAAGGATTTAAATTTTCAGACAACTTACACGTAGCTGAGGTTGCAGCCAAATGGTGTTTCAAACGAAAGCGTGGATGAGAACACTTGTTGTATGTTTCAGCATATCCAAATACAGTTCCCATGTTAAACTTTGTTCGAGGAATAGAGGCCCCACAATATGATTTCCCAATATCCCAGCCCAAACATTAATTTTTTGTGGATCTTGAGTATTAGTTTCCCGGAAGACGTTCATAATGTCTACTAATGGCTCAGACGACTACCAACAACCAGAAATTCCTGATAAACTTTCTGAAATATTTTCGATCGTACCAGAGTACGATGGAAACCCGATACTACTTTCAACCTTAATTAATGCTTGCCGAATGGCTTGTCAAATGGCTGTCGACCAAGAACATGTTCTGGTTGTCCTACACTCTAAGAAAAAGCCCCGCGGATGCGCAGCGGAACTAGTTGTTAGCCGTAACCCATCGACATGGGAAGATATCCGGTCTTCAGTGGAAACACACTTCGGAGATCTTCGAGATCTCATCTCTCTGATTGACGATCTACAACATCTTAAACAACTTCCTAACGAATCCCCTCTTACTTTTGCGTCGAGACTGCAAACACTTACAGCAAGGATGCACTTTGCCATAAACCGTCAGAACATGAGTCGCGAGCAGAAAAATGCTCAAAGCTCTCTTATCGAAACTCTGACCCTTAATTGTCTTCTAACTGTTCATGATTCAAAAATTGGCCTCATCGTAAGATCCGGTCACGCCACCGATATCTTAACGGCAGTCGCCTTCACAAAGCGCGAACTGTAACTTTGTTATCTTGAGAGAACAAAATTTTCTAGGGCTCCAAACCCTAACCCAAATCATTCAGCCTTAAGAAAACCTAATCCAAAAGTCTGTAATTTCTGCCACAGACCCGGTCACTTAGCAAACGAGTGCCAGCGCAGACAACAATCTTTTAATAATCCTCCAAGACCATTCTATCAACCTCAGTATTCTTCGCAAAACACTCCAAGGCGTAGTCAGCCGATGCAGACTAATAGACCTTCTAATCCTAATCAATTTCGATCGTCTGTCATAAGATCCAATGTGCCAAATACAAATGCACCGAGACCGTCTGTCATTCAGTCAAATCCAGGCTTCCGAAGCCAACAACCGAATTTCCAGAGGAATTTCAGATCTAATAATCATCCTCCATCCCGTATTAATTACGTTGTCCCAGATTTGTAGAATATTCCGAATACAGCGATCCTGACCTGCTCAACACTGACTAAGCCAGTGAATATTATGGTATCCAATAGCCTGCACATACACCTACATCTTATGATGAATTCTCTAACCCGATCGATAACAACGAGTTTTGTTATGAGTACGATCATTCTGCCGAGACGTACTACGGCGATAATGCTTATCCGAATCCGCAATGTCAGGATTTTCAAACGCCCCCCTTGAAAGACAAACATCCCGCAGAGTGCGATTACAATCTAGACCATATGATTGCGAGCTCACAAAAGCTCAATGTTAAGGACCCGACTGCTACGTTATCAAAAGACCAAATGTTTGTGTAAGCAAGCCGCCCATTATAGTCCTGTCGACTGTGTCGCCGAAAATATGTCTATCTCTAGTCCCATTTGCTCCAAATGATTATCATAAAATTTATGTCTATGATTTAGACATCTCATTCGATAGTCTTCTTGGATCAGATTTCGTCGAACATTACGATTGTATTATCGATCTGAAAAATCGTCAATTAATTGCCAATTTGAAAACTCTCCCTCTTTTTAAAGTAGATGACGAAAATAATTTCCATTCCCGAGTTTCTGAATTTAAAGGAAATTCACAAATTCAAAATGTCATGTCCGTTCCTCCCAGAGTTGAGCAAGTCGTCAAGCTCAAATCCGAAATTAAAGACACTGACCATTCTTCTGGCGTGTGAGATAGAAAAAGTCCGTCTACCCAGTTCCATTGTTAAAATTAATTCTAAAGGTGAATTTCACTACAGTCTTGAACTGTAACGCCATTCCTAAAAATGTAATTTTGCCCTAACTGGAATTCAATGAAACCGGTCCATAATCAGGCAGTCAAAGATCAAATTTCCAAATTATTGAAACAAAGCATCATAGAACCCTGGAATTCAGCCGTGTGAGTCGTACCAAAGAAAATGGACGCTTCTGGTAAACAGAAATGGTGTATGGCGATTGATTATCGTAAACTTAACGAAATCACCATAGACGAGAAATACTCTTTGCTAAACATTTCAGAACTGCTTGATCAGCTAGGGAAATGCCAGTATTTCAGTACACTGGACTTGGCATCTGGATTTCATCAAATTGAAATAAATCCAGCTCATGTCCCCAAAACTGCCTTCTCAGTTGAGATCGGACATTACCGATTGTTGAGAATGCCTTTTGGGCATTTGTCCCACCGCCGACGATGAACGAGAAACGAGTAGAGTTAGAAACTAGAAACCAGTTGGCGAACAGCGGGAACCTGTGTAGTTCCGATACTGACGCTGGGCTATAAGCGAGTGTGCAAGTGTGACGGGCGAAAAGTGCGAAATTTGTCAAAAGACCCAAATTTGTCGGCAAAATCTCAGTGCCCCTTTAGTAGTAACTGAAACTCCTAAACCTCGTTCGAACGTATCAATATTGACATATTAGAAGTGCCGCCAAATTGCTACGCTCCCACAATCCGAGGCGAGCTCACAAAATTTTCTCGAGCCTACCCAGTTGGTGACAAGTCAAATCCGTCGTCAGTACGCTTATCTTATATTTTAAACACTACGGCACACCTCTTCGAATACACTGTGATTATGGTAAAGAATTTGATAATGCCCTCATGAAGGACCTCTAGTCTTTATGGCATAAAATTAACATTTCCAAGTGTCAGGCATCCCCAGTCTAATGGATCAGTTGAACGATTCCACGCTACCTTATTAGAAATGATCAGATCACACGTATCTGAAAACCCGGACGAACATTCTTTCAATATCCTACCCTATGCTGTTCAGTGTTACAATATCACTAGAAACAGAACTACTGGCTTTACGCCATACGAGATGGTGTTTGGACACACAGCTCGTCGCCCCCCTGCACACGTCTTCCTTGAAAAGGAACTGATGTCAAAGTATGTTCGAGACATTCGTAATAAGCTCGAATACTATAAAATTTCCCGTGCACGAACCGAAGAACAGAAGCAGAAGGCTGAAGTTCGTTTCGACAGTAAAATGGCACCTAATTTACAGACATACAAAATAGGTGACAAAGTCTTTGTTAAGCAATCTCCAATTTCCCTTAAACGACGTTCGAAATCACTCAAGTCTTCGAAAATTCCGCCCGATCCAAAAACCCGGAAACGTATCGAATTACTAAAGTCAATTTTGACAGACTCAAACCATGTTTTGAGACTTAGCTTCTCTTCCAGGTGCAGTCTGCTGCTTCTTGCGGCTGTGTGTACAGCGCAGATACGCATCAAACCAATTAACATCACTTCAAGAATTTATTTTCACGAAGATGCCCCTTTAAAGATTTCGAACGAAGTTTGGACCCTCCTCGTATACAAAGATATTGAGCTCATTAAGATAATAGCTATATAGCTATATTCTTGAACACTTATCTTCTCTTGTGGATGAACCCACCAATCGCATGAAAGTTTTCAAAAGCGAAATATAAAGGCATACAAAGTCTATATCAAATTTCTCGTGCCCTTGAGTCTAAATATTACATGATTTTCGATGATACAATTATTAGCGCTTCTCGTATGAAAAGCGGCTTAATTAACGCAGTAGGTACCATTTGAAAAACAATAAC